AAAAATCATTTTAATTTGCTATTCAATCATTGAAGAAATGTGTAATTAAATTTATTTTTATTTTACCTGTCCATAAAATCAATTCACATTAGCACTTAATAAAACTATGCGGGCAATGTTAAACAAAGCTGAATTGTTATACGTTATCCAAATATTTGAAACTGAAAAATGCTTATAAATATTTCTCCGAATGGTTGTGATATTAAATATATAATGAAAGCATATAAATGTGCTTCCGTAAGCAGTAAGTGGATTTTGTGGGAAGCGTAACAAGTTGGCGGAACGTTACTTTCAAGGAACAATTTTTCGCAATCATCAAGAGGATATGTATGATCTTATTTTGTAATTTGAATTATATTATGGACCCATGATAAAAAAAAGGCAGGGCAGTACGATTTTAAAATTGAAAAAAATGTTATTGATCTAACCATTTGCTTCATCGTAATTGTGAAAAGAATTATTGTCATGAAAAAAAAAACGATTTATCTAATTCCCTTTTAAAGAATTTAAAAATTCCATCAGAACATTTGAAGTTAAATAAACGATAATAACAATAACAAAAAAAAGTTATAAATTATTGTAACAGCAGAGAGTTTCGGGGTCAATACAAAGTATATTGTTTCGGCGTATTATGTTATTATATACATTTCCAATTTGCATTTTTCTCTTTAATTGTGCAGGGAAACTAGATTTCAAACGTGTCTTTTTAAAAATTATTATTATTTTTTTTTCATATCGTATGAAGGAATATTCTTGAAAAACATCTATAAATATGCAATATGCATTGCATTCATTCAGCAATATGTTCAAATATTGACATTTCACTTTCCGTTATGTTAAATGGCATGTTTTAACGCGGTCTGCCACAAGTAGAAAGCCGGCAAGAGTTTTACATCCTTGCCGTTGTCGTTTTTGTTATTGTTGTTGCCGTAGTTATTGCTGTTGTTATTGCAGCTGGGAAAACTTTTGGCTTAAATTTATAATTCTTAATTAGCTTCATTGTTCGAAGATAACTGCAGAAGCGACAATGCATGCAAGTCAACATGTCCTTATTTGTTCGACAATAACAACAAAAGCGAAAGCAAACACAATGGAGCCGAGCGTAAAAATATGACGACGAAAATTTGCGTGCGAAAAGCATTAAATTAAATGCATTAATTTGTTGTACGAACACCAACAATAACAGCAATAATGTTTACCATCAATATTTCATCGCGACACGCTTGCCTTTTATTTAAAGCGCATTAAAAGGGACATTGAAGCATGAGAATCCTGTGGTCTGTCAGCAAGATGAATGGTTTGGAATTCAATACAAGCTGATTATGAGAGGGGCAAGGAAACAGCCCCACCACGATATTGCAGAAAAATTCTATATCACAACCTTTCTGTTATTTGTGTGTCTATCAAGTAGCATTCGAGTTTTACAAAACTTCAACCTTGGCCAATTAATGTTGCACTGTTCCCATTATGTTAGTGTCCATGCAGCTTTATGTGATACCAGCTGAATTTTTAAAATTGTCCAATAGCAACAGCGCACGCAAAAACAACATCGATAGCACAGCAACGTAATATCGCATAAATAGAGCAAATTGGCGGCCCTTTAACCTGCCCGGCATATACTCGTACATAAACATGGCAACTTTGCTGCTGGTTTCTCTCTCCAAAACACATACGAGTATATGCAAATGTGTGTTACATATATCTTTTGGCCTTAATGCCATTTTTCTTTCCTGCTGCTGTCGACGAAGCCGCCGCTGCTGTCGATAGTTTCGCCCACCATTCGTCCCATCGTCCATTCGTCTGTCCATTTGCTTGCTTGCCTCACTGTCTGTCTGCCCATTTGTCTGTCTATTGCACTATGGAGTAGATTGCTAACATTTTACTAAAACTTTCAGGGATGCTCGTGGAAATATTTAAATTCCTAAACATTTTATCTTGGCTTTGATATCAAATGATGAGTTTCTTAATCATTAAGTATTACCTTAAATGAAGGCATGGCTTATTTATTTAGTTTTTAGGTACAGCAAGTTCAATTAAAATTGTTAAATTGATAATTGATCAATTAAGTACTACATAAAACAGAGGACTAAAAAGCAATCTCCTTTATGAAAAACTTTTAACATGAAAATAATAACTTCAATCGACTGGACGATATATTGGGAAAACAATCTATCACGATTTTAAAATGTTTTATTAAAAAATAAAAACTGTATTTGTATTTTTTTTTTATTTTTAATGTTTGCTGTTGAACATATAATTGCTTAGTTACTAAGCAATTTAGCTTAATTTATTATGTATCAGAGGAATAAATCATTTTTGTTTTGCTGCATGTTTTGCTGATAAACACAAGTGAAAAATTGTATTTCATGTCACTGGAATTTTGAATTTTGGTTAACATTTAGGCAATCTATCCCACAGTGTGTTGCTGTTGCTACGGTGTTGCCTTTGGGGCGTCATTGCCCTGCATGAATTATGGCCAATAAATTGGACATGTTAACTGTATGTCATTGTGCAATGCCACTACGACGGCCCATCCCTGTGGCAGCCGCAACCTTTACCACACAACTTTATGTTAAAATTAATTGCAAGTATTTCATAGTATATACACACACACTCACACACACACACAAAGGTAGACAGAAGAAAGGAAAGAGAGGCAAGCATGTACACATATGCAGAGAAACAGATGACAAGGTGGTGTACATGGGGCGTATGCGTGATATAATTAGCATCCATATTTATTAAAAAATGATGAAAGCGCACAAAGAGTGCACCAGTCAACCGCACAGACAAACTGACATCTCTACAGAACTGGTCAGAACATTTAAGGTCTCAGGCACACAGTCAGCCAACCAGTCAGCCAGCCTAGAGCAACATGTTGTACGAAAAATCACGACTGGCCTGCATTTGCATGCGTGCGTGTTATTATTATAAATTTCTTTTCGCAACGAAAATTAATGGCATTTGCAAGACGTTTTAATGCCGAAAAAGCTGTTTGCGCTCAACCCATTTCCCTTGCAGGGGCTAAAAGGTTCGTATTGGCCAAAAGGTACTGACGGGTTTAACACGCCTGTCAATGGCATCAGTCGCAAGCTTCGGGGTATGGGGACGAAAGCTGTGGGGCCAGTGGCTGTGGGCCATCGTTTTTCATTAAATAAATTGCAATTTATCAGCGCGCTCATGAATTTTCAGCAACACATTTTTATTTTTCTTTTTTTTTTTTGCTATAAGCCTTGAACTTTGTCACGCGTTTGCATTTTTCCCTCGTGTGCTCGATAAATTGTCAAATGGGGATTTATTCAAAGGGTAAAGGCAGAATTTACGAAGCAAAAGTCAGCTGAGTAACTGAAAATAAACATTTCAATTGAAAAAGTTTCGAAAATTTTGACATATCGCTAAAGCTGTTCAAGAAAGAACTTGAAAATTAATTAAATAAAGTAACCAATTGTGTACTGCAGTAAATCGTTTAATTTTTAAAGCTGGTAGTCAAAAGTAGATAAACTGCCAGATGGGTTTTGAAAAAGTCAACTCTAAAGTGCAGAAAAAGGTAGGTAGTTTTTTAAATTTATTTTAACATAATCATAAGCAACATAATAATACATGGCTTGTATGCATACATAACACAATTACTTTTTATAATTTTATCCTTTTGCAAATAAATTAAACGTTATTGCAAATTTTAAATGCGCTTAAGACTTAAATCACTTCTCGTATAAAAATGTTTGAATGAAATGATTTCAATTTCGTAACGAAACTCGGCAAACTATGCCAAACTAATACTTCATGAGTGAATATTCTATTTACCAACACATGATTGACATCAATACGCAATGCTGCGAATAATTTTACAATTTGTGTAATTGTACAATTTCCATTCTAATCCTTTTATTTAGTTGCTGTTAGAATTTTCAATTTTCATTCATATGTCTTTTTGATATGACAATTTCGTGTTTGGTCTTTAGACTATGTGATATGATTAAAGACATAAATCATAAGCAATTAAAGCACAAAACAAATTTGAAATTAAAATACTGTCCAAAACAAATACCCGAATGTATGAGTGCATTGCAAATATTTACATAAGGCCTTGTCAGAGCGCCTGTGGCGAACAAAGAACTTGTTTGTAATACTTGTACAATGAATATTTTTCAACTGCTGAATAAATAAATGTTGAAAAAGCCTATTATGCACACATTCCTGTACTCGTATGCATATAAATATTTTAGATTCCATTTTAAATTAAGTGTTGAGCAGAACAACATTCATAAGCTGGTAGACAGATATACAGACATTCTGACAAACCTAGAAACTCAACAATTTGATGCTAAATTTTTTTGACTTGCTGCATTTTTTTCAGCATTCTTTATTATACATTCATAGTCATTCATTTTGTTTTTTTACATTAGTTCGAGTGTTAATTTATGTTCTATATTTATTGTAGTTAGCCTGTGTATGTATTTATAGGTGCATTTAAGGGCTCTTGCCAGCCTAATACGAGTACATATGCATATTATCCATATGTATACAATAAATACAAATATCTTATACATAGGGTTTGTCTATTGTACATACAATGAGCATTTATTGTGGTTTCCTGCTATCATCGCAAACATTTTCCATTCTCCATTTTCCACTTTCGCTAAAGTTATGCTTTATACACAATTCTCAATTCGTTTTTCATTTTGTGTGCTGACTGCAGTTCAAGTTTTCCCATATATTTTCATTGGCCTAGGCTAAATGAAATTTTGCAAATTTTCATAGCTGTAAACATTTTCCTTTTTTTGCCCTTTGTCTGCCTTCATAACAAACTCAATTTAAAGTTATGTCAGCGAAAGACTTCGCATATTAAATAATAATAATATTGAGAAACACGTTCCGTTTGTTTCAATTTTGTTCGGCTAAGTAAACAGTACAACTAATTGCTACCCCTGCCCCTGTTTAACCCTTTGGCTGCATTTTTGAAATGCTACAATTTCTTAATTAACTGATATTTATTGATTTCAAAGCCTTAAACACAAAAAAGCTGCCGTACCCAGCCAGCTCAGTAAGAGACCGACCATTGGGGGCCTATGTAGTGCGCCAGCTGTGAAAGTTTTTAATTTTTAGGGGGAACACAGAATCAGAATCATGTTGAGACCAGAGGGTATAGTATAGACTTACCATGCGAGCTGCCATATTCGTTCGGTGGGCGTTCCGTATAGAACATGCTCTTGCCTATCGCTAACGATCCCTTGCCTCCGCTCCCGCCCAGCGCTGACAAGCTGTTTCCCGTCGCCGCTGGCAATGAAGATGTTTGCATCGAGCTGGATGAGGATGAGGCGGCGGATGAGGATGATGCCGATGAGGCACTGCCAGAGAAAAGATCGTTCTTCATGGGATATGCATCCGTTTGTGGCAATTTCGTTGTATCGTTGCGTGAAGAGGGAATGATGTTGTCTGTTGGAAATGGATGAGAATATAAAAGAGGGGGTTAAGCGTAGCTCATTCAATAACCAGCACTAAATCAAGTCAAAACTTTTCCATTACTTTGACCCATGTGCCCCAAAAGTAAAACAAACTTTCGCCAGCACTGGCACACACGTACTCGTAGACACAACATCAGCCAACAACGTCCAACCTTTAGTTAACCCTCTGTGCTGGTTTGTTTTCATTGCTAGTGACATGGTTTTTAAGTTAAATTGTGTGGAAATCTTGTGCCAACTTGCACGCCCGCAGACCAACAGACAGACACACGCACACACACACACACACACACACACACACACACACACACACACACACACACACACACACACATACACATAAAAAGAGACAGATAGAGAGTGGTACAAACACTCAAACATGAAGAGATAGTTACACTGGCACTTGGCACACGGGCATACTACTCGTATATAGTACAACACCAATAGGAAAAATTCACTGCTAGTATATCACACAACATCCTTTGTTGCTTTCGTGGCTAGGATTACGAGAACACCGGCACACACTCACAGACAAACACGCTCTCCGCAAAGCCGCTGGCATTGCAACACTCGCCACGACAGTCACTTTAAATAAAATATGCTAGTGTTAGTCGCTTCTCTGGCAGTCGCTTCTCTGGCGCTCTATGCCGCCGTGTCTGCGGCACTGTTTCAAATGTGTTTCCAACCTAATGCCCCGAAAATCCCCGGCATAATCCGTAGCATATTGCTTTGCCTCGACAAACTTGAAAGTGTGTGTACTTTTCTGCTCGACTTGAATTTCAAAAAACCCCTCGCTGAAATAGTCAAAAGTGCTTTAGTTTATCTCTTTGTGGGCATATGTGTGTGTGTGTGTGCGTGTGTGTGTGTGTTAGACTTAGCTGCTTCTTCCACTTTTTGTTTGTGGCTGGCCATGGTATGTACATATGTCTGTCCGTGTCCATGTATGGGTGTGTGTGTCAATCTGAAGCTTTGGAATTGTGGGCGGTTTGTTGTGCGCTTTTCTGGTGTGACTTTCACAGTTTATATAACGGTTGATGTGTTAAGCGCAAATACTACCATACATACGCATACACACACACTCACACACATAGAGACTCTGCTGTTCACCATTCACTCTGATACTATACTTACTCTCCCTAGATTCCACAGTTGTGTGTGTTACTTGTTTGGATGGTGTCGATGGCAATGGAATTTCTGCAAATGAAATTGAATAGCAGGCATTCGTGTATTGTTAATAATTAGTTGTTGAATGCAGTTTACTTTTCTTCATAACTGATTTTAATTGCATTTTGTGTGCGTTTGGTGTGTATTTTGTAGGTATTTCTAGTGCCTGCTGATGGTGGGTTTTTGGGTCAAGGGGTGCAATACGAAGGTCGTTGAGCAGCACTTTTCAGTTGCAAAGTTGCTAATTAGTGTTAAGACTTGATATTTTTGCTAAATGTGAATAAAAGCAACAAAATAGGGGAATTCACTTCTTCCGGCGTGAAATGTTATAATAAACTGCAAATGAACAACAAGGGCGATAGCGATTGAAACAAAACAAGTATAATAAAAAATTGCAATACACAAAAGGATCTGAAACAAAACAATTCGAGAAAATGAATTTTTTTTAAAAATAAATTTTCAGTGATTTGTTGAGCAATGAGTATTGAATTAATTTAATTTCTTACTAACTCATTTACAAGCAAAGTATTTAAAAAATAAATAATAAAATAACTATTTGCCGACAATAATCCTTTGGAAGTTTAAGGGAATTATGACGTTAAGCTTAATTTGTTTTTCTATTAAATTGTTTTTTATATAATTAAATGAAAAGTAGTTAGTTTGGTCTAACAACGTCTTTGCATCCAATTGACAGTCAAACGGCGCAGAGCAGAGCCCAGTCTGGGCAACATCATTTTGTGGGTTTCAGTTTTTGACTCATTCATCTGATATCTATCTCAGTCAAACTATAAGAGCAATAGTACATTGGTAGCCATGTCATTGGATTGGATTACCACACAATACAAGCTGCAAGAGCTGTTAGGATAATTGGAATAACAACAACCTTTTATTAAAATGTGCAAATTTTGTAAATGTATGTATATTCCTCATTTATCTTCTCAATAATGTTTTTAAAGAGCACTTAATAATGTTGTAATGCAGCTTAACTATTTAGCAGAAACAATGGCATACAAATAATGAAGGCTACAGTAGGAGAATGCTTAAAAGAAGAATATCAAGCGAACGAAAATAAACTCACATTCAAGATTTAGGGAATTAAATCTTACTAAACGCCTTAAATAATTACCGAACAAGGTCATTCAGCTTAAAGCCACTTAAGCTCATGGCCTTGTGGCGCACATACATTTAAGGCATCGGGCAGCATACGAGTACATGGCACAGGGATTTTATTTATTCTTAAAGGGAAATACACGGCAAGCGAAACAAGCTTGTAAGCACAACACGAAGCGGGCAAAATGGCTGGAGTGCATAAAAAATAAATAAATACAGCCCACTAAAAATAAAAGAAAATCGAGGCTAGCTGGAAATGCTACGGCTAGCCAAAAGCTGGCAGAGCCATGATGTGGGACGCAACGGAGAACAAGGCACTGAACCGTCGAGCCAACCAACCAGTCAGTCAACCACACGGCTGTGAGGGCGATACAAAGTCAAACAATTCCGAAATTCACCTTTATTTTACGTTTATGTGAATGTGAATGTGTCTCGGAGTGTTGGTGTTAGTGAGCAATAAGCTCTGGGCGCTGAGCATGATGCAGGATGAACAGGATGAGTTCATGGTGGGCGGAAAGCAGGCTGCGAGCCTCTGCTCGTTCAGTTTTTCGCTTCAGAGCACAAAACACATATCGAGAAGACGATAGTCTAGAACACTGAGACGATTTTGCAGTATTATATAGTCGGGTTTCGTTAAAGAACTTGAATTTGATGAATTAGTTTCGTATGGAAATGAAATGGTTTTCGAAATTAAAATCTCTACTACACATCTTGTTTTACTTTTAATTAAATATTATAGAACGAGTTTTCAGAATATTTCAATTGGTTTGATAGGATAATTATAATCGAATTCATTATAATTATTATTAAATAGGAAAATAAAATTGTGCATACACACTGTTCAACGAGAGTGCCAATATGTAGTCTTAAATAAAGTGGTCTCTTATGTTAAACCAACACATATTTTATGGTATGCGGAATATCTCCAGTTTTGATCTACTGGAGTTATACGAGAACTGTGATGATTGTTAAGGAATAACAGTTTTCTTTTACAGATAAAACTTATTCTATCGTATTTAAAGTTGAAGTAAATTTTTTGAATGAATGACAATTTTTAGGTAAGGCAAGCGTATTATAATACTTGTAAATACAAAATTAACTGAATTGGTCAGAGACAAAAATTAAATTGAACTTGTTTTATAAAAAGTGAAAAAGAAAGAAAAAGAAGAAAACTTAACACTAATTAATTGCAGATTATATTACCTAGAATAATAGGTTAGAAAAAGAGTTAGGAGTAACACTCCTAGACATGTATGGGTCTTTTCTGCGAGTGAGCTAATGTGTTTGTCTATATTTGTGTGGGTACTTTGCCAGTGTAGAGGTAAAAGCTTTCGGCGAAATTGTGGCACAAAGGGCGCACGATATTGCATTTACCAGCGCAGAGGTTATGAAAGTGTGTGTGTGTGGGTGTGTGTGTGTGTATTTGTGTGTATTTGTGTGTGTTTGTGTGTATTGCAGCTTGTGCACTTAAGTTGGTGCACACAGATACATATGCATAGAGTGCTGGCAAATACAACTACAACTGCACTTACCGTAAACACGTATGGAGCCTTCCGTTTCCCCAAGTGAGTTCTTTGAGATGCATCGATAGTTGCCAAAGTCGCCATATTGTAGGTTTCTTATCGTCAGTTTCATGTGTGCGCTTTTCAAAACGTACGTAAAGTATATGTGGAAGAGAGGTGGGTTAAGAGCATGTTAGTAAACTTTAACACAATAAATGTATTGAAATGCAGACAGCAAGAGTCGGCAAAGTCAGCTGAGAGACTCAACTGTGTGGTCAGGGGCAGGGTCGGGCGCAAAGGTGTAGGCAAGTGTAAGTACATGATAAATATTTAACAGACCCTTGCCATATGTGCTGGGTAAGGGGGACTGCAACAACACCAATACATACTTTTACTGTTCTTGCACTTGCCGTAATAAGTAAACGAATGTGGCGATTGAGGTTAACACTGACTGCTCTAACTTACCGGTACGAGTTCTCGGTGTAGTCGGTCTTGTATTTTTTGCTTGGCAAAACCATCACGGCATTGTACACCCAATAGATGATGGCTCTGTAAAAGAATGGGCATAAACAAAATTAAAATTAAACTTTATTGGCTCCATACATCAATTTGAACAGAAATAGCCACGCAAGGACGTCAGCAAAATGATAAGAAAAACTAAGTTCGCACAAACTCGGAAATAAAATTGCACACGTAATTTTATTTACAATCTGCATGTTCGAATACATGTAACAACTACGTAAAGAAAAGTAGAAATGAAAGAAATGAATGAAATATATCACAACTAAAGTAAGGCAATGAACTACTCTTTTTGGTTTGAGTATCACTTCAATAGCTCTAATAAGATTGCCCTATTTTTACTTTGGCCAGTAAATATTTTTTAAAAACATCGTTTTGTATTCTCGCCCTTACTTTTATCATAAATTGATTATGTGAAATTAAATATAAGAAGGGACTCCTTAAACTTTTCTTAAAAAAGTAACTAGTCGACTCATTGTAAGGTAAAAGACTTGTTCTGAGGAACAAGTGAAAAAATTACAAAATGAAAAGCTATAATATATTAAATTAAATGATTTCGACCCATTTTGATTGTTTAGTTTAAAGTTGATCGAAAATGTAAAATAAAAATAGCTGTATCGGTCCTGATTTCAAACAATAATTTGCCGACTGTTTCAAGCTTCATCGCCTTTCGCGTTAAGAGTATCTAAATGCAAACAATGGAAGACCAAAATGAAAGCAAATGTGTTTACAAAATCAAATCAAAACGAAAGCGAAGCGAGGCAGCCAGCAGTAAAATATCAACAACATGGCGACTCACACCCACCACCACCACCACATGTGTGCAGATTGCATTGTAATCAGACAACAGCAGCAGCAACAGCAGCAGCAGGTGCAATGCAAAACTGTTTAAATCCAATTGAAACACAGCAACAACAACAAAAGCACGTACGCAAAATAAAAAGCGATGTCATGACGAATAGCTTAAAAGTATGCTACACAAAATTTCAAAATAAACATTTCGCTGCAAAATGTACAAAAATAAAATTGAAGCAGAAAAAACTACACATAGAGTTTGGAAGATGTGTGGCACTCACTTGGGATGTGCTTCGGTGTGGCAATCGATGGTTACATCTGTGCCCGCTGGAGCGCCAACAAGTTGATTCGGCACCCAAATCATCGGTGAGACTGTAAACGATGTCGACGAGAGGGAGAGAGAATGAAAAAGACGAAAGACGTTAGACACCTTGCCATAGGGAGTAGGGATGGTGGGTGCCATGGAGTGTGGGTGTGTGTTCGTGCATTTTAAGTGTTTGGGTAAAGTATGCTTAAGCTTGGTATTACGCCTGTTCAATGCTCCAGTACGTCACTCGCAGTCTATCTCTCTGACAACTAGTATGAATGCGTGTAAGTACCAGTATGCGTGTATGTGTGTGGATGTATGTGTGTGTGTGTGTGTGCGAGCTTATAACGGTGTCTGGTTGCCAGCTTAAAATGAAAGTGCAATGACAAAGCTAGAAAACTTAGTTGATGCGTAGTGACGTAGTTGGGGTTGGGGTGGGCAGGAAGAGGGCAGGTTGCATGCCAACCACGCGTTTAAGGCAACACATCAGCGCAGCGAAGAGCAGAAAAAATAACAAAAATGATGTTTAGCTCAAGCTATGTACGTGCTTAAGGTATATGTAGCTTGACGCAGGTCTTTAGAACGTTAAGCACGTGGCATTGCTCCATTTTGCAACGTTCGCATGGGTGATTTGGTTTAATATACATAGCTTCCTCCTAACTTCAAGCACCAGTCTGTGAAGCCAGCCGTTTGAAATTATTAAAGTTTGCTTCTGTATCTCTTCTATGAGTCTTCAATAAAGAAGCACATAAATCGCGAATGCTTTCAACGTTTGTACAAACATACAGCACTGTTTCCCTTTCTAACCATAATTTCTTTAATGCAAATTGTCATTCATTTCTAAAGTTTTTCAACTGTTTGTTGTAGAATAGTTGAGCAAATTTATTATTTTATAAATGCCAGTTTAAATAATTTTCTCAAAGACATAAATAAATTTCTTCTATCAGCTTTCATTAATCTTTAAGCTCTATAATTAAATTCGATTTGAACTAAATTTAATATCAGTGTTGCGACTGAATATTCACACTCTTGCATTGAGCACTGCCAAACGCCTGACACAACCCACAATTACAATTCTTCCTGTGTTGACAGGAAAATGTCTAAGCGCAGGCATTGCAAACTTATGCCCACATGCGACACGGTATACCTATACAATGGCACCGCCTATCGCAACTTCCGCTTCTTCATTTCCCGCACACACAATTGGGAATACGAAATTGAAACATCGAGCGGCATGTTGAAATTTTAAACGCGACACACACACACACACACATCTTTCCGCCATTTTCCTTCATTCTCGTTGGCAGCAAGTAGCGTACATGAAACATGAAACATGTTCAGGCCCACGCACCTCTACTATTAACCCACTCCCATCCGCAGCTCCAGTCCCACTAACACACGAAACCGTTCACAATAAAATAGAAAAAAAAGTCAAAGTCATACGTGCAACGCTGGCAAGTGACTTTATTGCAGGTACGTGACGTGAATTATTGTCAATGCAGAAGTCGGAGGTGGGGGCAGAAACTCGTTAGGATTAACAAGCGTTTACTGGCGCAGGGCGTTCAACAGTCGCACAACTTTTACGCCGATGCCAACACCGACGTCTATGTCGATGTCGGAGCCGTAGCCGTAGCTGTAGCCGGAGCAATAGCCGATGCCGTTGACGAAGCCAGGCTATATATCAGCTGCATTAGAAGGCAGATTCGAGCGGTGCGGAGTTGGAAGCTGAAGTTGCGCCTGTCACTCATTGCGAGAGTAACGAATGTGCAGCAACAGCAGTGGCAAGAACAGTTAAATTGATGAGCAGCTTGACTGCCTACTCGCTCGTCGTGCGTCCTGTGTCCTCAACTTTGCCTGACGGTTGCCGTTAAGTGCGCGCGTGTTACAGGTAAAATGGCGCAAGCATACTAATATAATGCCTGCCCCATCTCTCCGGCCATCTCCATTACCCGGCCCCCCCCCAACGATAGTTTTCATTTAGTCGGTCGCTCGGTCGCCTCCTACTTCCATCTTTGACTTACACTCCACATCAAGAATGATGCGCTTCGACACCGACGGAGGTACTCCATTGGTGGCTATGCACAGATAGGCGCCCATCTCATTGCGGCTCACTTTGGTCAGCGGCAGGATATCGCCATCGTAGACCAGCACTGTTGATGTTTTTGATGTTGGTGACGTTGGCGTTTGTGTTTGTCGGCAGGCGTCACAGCGTCATAGCGTCACAGGAAGCCAGGAAGGAAGTGAATGTCCGCAGCATCAGCAGCAGCAGCATGGAAATAAACGTGCAAAGCATAGAGAATTTTCAATGAGGCACATATGGCGTAAGTGAATGTGTTTACACTGAGAAAATCAAATAGTTTTAAGAGCTCCACCAGCACAAAATGATAAATGAGCTGCATATGTTATATGTAGAAGCATAATGGTTTAGGAAATTATGCCTCCATTCAAATATTTCTTACCATATGCAACAAGACATCAGAAAAACTTTATCATTACGGAAAATGCATTTAAAAGCCAAAAAAAAAAAAGATAACAAAATGTATTACCAATCCTATATTTTTAATATTGAGAGCAGTTCCTCAAAATAGTGATTATCCCATGCAATTGAAATACTGATTACAGAAAATGCATTGAAAAGCGAAAAAGAAAAATGTTTTGCGATTTCTACAATTTTAATAGTGAGAGCTATTTCTCCTAATGTTCTGTAAAAAATTCTCTTTCTAAAAAATCTGTGCTTCATTACGGAACCTTTGTAATTTTGACAGCCAATTGTACATCCCATGCAATCAAAATAATGCTTTGAAAATCTAAATACTAGTCTTCCTCTTTTCAAATAAGACACTCATTACAGTTACAGAAATATCCTGATTATTTAAGAAAATTCATATGATGAAATGAAATAATAAATGTAACTATATAGTACATATAGGAAATTACATTGTATTAACAAATATAGAAATTTAATTTAAAATATTTACAAAGATTATTTCCACTGTGATAGAACTATATAAGTTCAACTACGTTTCTCAGTGTATGTGTTTGTCTGTGAATGTCCAGGCCAGTACACGTACCTTTCTTCTTTTTCTCAACGGCAATTTCCTCTCCGTCCTCGCGTCGCCAAATGATTTTGGGCGCAGGGAAGCCATCGGCACGACACGTCATGTTGATGTTTTGGTTTTCACGCACCGCCACCGATGATGGTGTGCTCTCAATGTCCAGTATGTTTGGTGGAACTGCGTAGGCAAAGCGTAGCTGGTCAATAAAAGGGCTCAATTGTATAGTGCTGGCGATGTCTTTACTTACCAACCACCTGCAGGTAGCCGACCTGACTAATCATGGGATTCGTGTTGACCTGACACATGTAATAGCCGCGGTCGTCCTGATGAGCCTGATTGACATGCAGGAGCCAAGTGTTGGCATTGTCGTAAGTGATGCTATAACGCGGTATACGTGAGATGACATGTCGATGTATGGTCAATATCATCTGCCGATCGATGTGTATCCAGGCAACCTGACAAAGAAGAGGAAATGGAACAGAATGTCAAATTCAATAGACTTTTATGCGACACACACGTTTTTTTTCCTAAATTTAAAGAATGTCAAACAGCAGACGGCACTCACATGCACACACTCACATAACACACACAAACACACATGCCTCATAGTTATAATAAATGGACTTCGTGAAGAGAAGAGAAGCAATTGCGAAAAAAAAAACGCCATCTTGACAGCTGTTTCCGCTTTTTAATACACTTTTTGCTGGCCACACTTTCTTTGCTGTCGCCTTTGCCTTCTGCTTTTGCCTTAGCTTCGTTTGCTTACATTGCGTGTGACACACACAGGACGAGGCTGAGTCCTTGCTAGGATTTCGCCTGGAAACTTTTCAAATTTACTCGCTGCCAAGTGACAGCAATGAGTTTCTCGTTTGCCGCTCCACAACAGTGCCACAAGCCTGCGCTGCCTCCAATGTTGACAAAAGTCCAATAAGAGCCAACAACGCCATCGCCATCGCCGTCGCCTTCGTATTCGTATTCGTCTTCGCCCAAGTGGCCAGCCTGTGACTGCCAGGACATGCACAAACTGAGCCCCGACTGTCCAGTGAGGGGCAGCTGGCCGACAGTGTTTTATATGAAGTTGATATGGCGAGTAAATATTTGTGATTTGTTATGAGCGCCGGCAACGAGGCAAAAGAGATAAATGATAAGTGATTTTCTAGTCATTTTGCCGAGTTTTTTCTGACCCGCAAGGCCTTTCGGCTTCAGTTTTTCAATTTTGCTGCTCAACTTTTTTGCACAAACGGACAACTTAAGTTCGGCCGATGGACAGGGTAAGTTGGAAGTGTGTGCACTTTAATTTGATACGCCAGCAAATAGTGGGCTATAAATAAAACCAGATGAGTTTTTTGTTTTTGTGCAGAAAAGAAGTTTTCTGTATCTGCCACATTGCAGACTATTTATAAAAAGATGAACAATGCAACAAATGTTTGCAAACATATGTTATTATAACAATTTCTTGTATGATTAAAGCCAGGGTTTAATTTTTCAAAAATAATATGCAAATAATAATCACCGACTACTAATATAATTTTGCACATATTTAATTTTTTAGCAAGATAAATGATTATTGATTTTAACTATGTGCATTGCTGTATAATATAGTCTGTTGTTTTAAATATATTTCTCATTGAGTTGTTGTGAGTCTATTTATAATCGCTTTATTAAAACTTTATTTCAAAAAAAAAAGAAATTATAATTATTTAAAAACTGCGTAGTACCTAACAACGAAGTGCTGGAATCCATACACTATCGCAGCTATGATCCCTTTATTAAATTTGTACTAGAATGTTTTGATTTGAGAAGAACTTGCAGTTTCCTCTAGCTGACATCGAAATATTGGAATGTATGCGCTTTTGCAACTATTTATTAAGTCCTTCCTAGCATGAGCTCAATTGAGAAGAAACTGCAAAATAACTTAAAGTGTAAAATCTGCTCTACTTTGTCCACATTAGGGAATATGCTTTTCATGAGTATGTGTTTTTGATACAGAAAATATAAATTCAATTACATGCCCTTTCAAAATTGTTTCGCTTTGGCTCGCGCATTGACTATGTGTGCTGTGTGCAAGTCAAGGATAAATACTATATACGGGTAAATAGCGGAACATATTTCAGCACTTTTCCTTCATTTTGAGAGTTTTTCGTTGGGCTGTTAATAGATCAAGCGCGACCCTGAATGCCATTTACAAAATTGATTTTTTACAATGTGCTGTGAACTTCAGGGTACAACGACCATGACAATGATGATGAAGATGATGGCTGCCTGTCTGTTTGATGACACAGCTGCGTTAATTTCACGCACAATTTATCGTACTTGACGTACTCACTCATCCAGTCATGTAGGTAGGTATGTATATACTTGTACACGTAGGTATATACTTGTATAAAAATCATGCCCACTTACCTTGTAGCCGCCCAAGTGCTCGACGACGCACGGCAGATTGGCATCGCGGCCCACGGCAACGGTGACGTTTGGTATGGGCTGTGCGAAGCGAGGCTCGTCCATCATAACTGCGAATGAAGAGAGACATAAACAAGCTTGTTAGTTAATGAGCAGGGCACTAGCAGCACGTGCAAAAAGGGACTAAAAAAAGTGAAAATGAAATGAAAATGCAGGCACAAAACGCAGTGCCACAAGCTGCTGTTGCTTCTACTTCTGCTGCAGGAAATCCATGACCCACAGGCCAAATATAATCAACAGGAGCCGCAGTAGGAGCAGCAGTAGGAGCAGCAGTAGGAGCAGCAGTAGGAGCAGCAGTAGGAGCAGCAACAACAACGGCAACTGCCACGTCGTCATTATGAACTAATTTAACAAAGCAATTTTTTCCTCTAGCATACTAATGATGGAATGGGCTACCCATTTCTCATAATTCTCGGAAAACACAGTGGTTTAGGGTTTACGGTTTTGGCCTTAAAAGTATTACAATATTATATAGTAATTTAATAATATCCCACATGTGATAACATAAAGCTCAACTTATTTAGGAGTTCGCAAACCAATATGTAATTCACACAAAAAGCGATACTCGTACATATGATAAATTTGTTGTATTAATTGCAATAAATATATTGCAAATGTTTCAATTGTGTTCGCACTCAAAATTTTTTTTAGCTCTTTGTTGTTTTTTCTCAGTTATTATAAATTAGTATTAACAAATGACACGATTTAGTGGCTTTTCGGCTTTATAACTAGCTTCGTACATTAAAAAAAAAAGTTGTTATATATTTTTTGAATGCGTTTTACATCTGGAGCTTTATTTTCAAGCATTTCTTTATTCTACATAAGCTTTGCTTTCTTATTCTTAAATGTTGATCAAAAATAGTTTTTTTACGCTCTCAGTACTTGCTCCTATTACCCAGATTGGATAATCTACATATAGAGTACCCGTGCGTGAGTCAAAAGCGTTGCTTGTGCATCAAAAGTCTTACTTGTCGATAAGTAAATAAATAAATTTGTGTTTACTTTTCAATATTTGATATTCTTATATAGTATGGTTTCAATTCCGTGAAATGCTTAAGAATTTCCATTAATGCAGTACAAAGTTTTTGAAACATATATTTGTAAAAAATTTCAAGGATTTCAGCAAATCGCGACTACTCCTATTATATTTACTTTAATTTGGAGTGTTCGTTTTTCTTATGTTATGTTATTAAGTTATGAAGAGTCATTAAATATGGAATAAAAGACGTAAGTAAATAAGGTGTATATTTAATTTCAATAATTTTAATAACATTTGCTCTCTGTTTTCTTTTCATTTAAGTACACAAAAGAGAAAGAATAAGATTTTCTGTTAACTGTTAAATCTAGGATTGTAGGTTCCCTGGCCCACTGTGCCATGGCTTCATGTATATGGTGTCGGTGGTAATGCAACTTTTGTTTTTCTATGCATTCATTTCGCGTTTTCCTTTCCTGCGGAAGTGCTGCACAAAAGCAAAACACGAGCGTTCAAGTAAAACAAGAGCGCATATGAAGACGAGGGCAGGAGCAGGAATATACTTGTAGTAGGTGCTGTGTTGAAGCCTCGGGCAACCGGCAGCTCCTCGTTATCTGCGCCATGCCGGCTGCCATCCGTCCATTGCACCTGACCCACCAGCTCACCAGCTTACCAGCTCACCTGCCCACCCAACCACCTGTCCTTGTGCGAATTCGTGGCACGGCTCGAGAGCCGGCGTGGCACGGGGCGCGGCATTGAAATTGAATGCATGCCGTCGTACCAGTTTGTGGTCTCATTTTCCTAATTAAATTATGACTCGCGCCGACAGTTTCGACACCGTACCCGTTGTTCAGCGCAGAACACCGCGTCGCTGTTGTGCTTCTACTCTTGCCGGAAATGGATAGGGGGAATACTGATGGCGGTAAAGGCGTCCGGCGTGCGGTAGCGTAAATGAATTTTACACAACATTTGCAGCACAAATACTTGTACCGATATTCATGTTGTGTGTAAAAGCGCTAGTAGGTATATAAAAGGATTAATAACAAGAAGCGGGTCGGGAAAGTGAAATGTGTTGCGATCAAGTGGGGTGCTGCAATATTAAATATCTTTGGAATACCGCAGAATGTTTTAATTAAACTGGTTACAAATGCGGTTATCATAATTACGGGTATTGCAAACTTGTCGCAATTAGAGAAGACTGAACTATTTCAATATTAAATCAATGATGATTCGCGGTAATGTGCACAGCCACAAACATTTTGATGAATTTATACATTATTGGAGCCGAACCTCTGCAAGTTTTTGATTGTTTTAAACGCTTACATAATTTTTTTAATTTCTTATATATAATTCAAACAGATTCCAATATAACGTTCTTATTCTTGCCTATAATTTATATTTATCTTTTAATGTCAATCGTTCACGTTTCAAAAATAGAGTGAAAATTAAAAAAGTCGGTTTCTCAGTGAGTCAGTTGGAAATTAAAAAATATATATATATGTATAGTATATTTAAAGATGCTAAATTATGATTTAGCTGCATTTGTCTAATGTCAACTTGGAAAAAACACGAAAAAATTGAATTTTCAGAATCCAAATCGTTTTCATTATAACAAAATTGAAGAAATGGGGATATCATTTATAAGTTTAAATTAAGAATAGAAAAGTTAGAAGGCTGAGATTAAGATAAGAGTAGTTATTAATAATAATAATTTTTGTTAATTAATTTCCGACGCAATAAAAAAAATGAGAAACGTCTGCTAGTGAAAGCATTTTAAATATATATATGTATGTTTCTAAATCACTTGTTGGATCAATCCGATCTGATCGTGCCTTTGGGCTGCGAGTATACCCAGAGTATTGTTGCAATATAATATTCATTAAACTAAAATATTTAGAAGGGGCCATCTAAATAGTGCCTTTTTAAAATAATATTAGTTTATATTTGCGGATTTTCCGCTAAATTGTTTTGATGAAATAGTTGCTGTTACAAAACCTAATAATCAGTTCTGAATAAACGCACCAGTCTTGCATATCTTGCAATCTCTTAATTCTAAATGCAGCTACTTATTAACATATTTAATGAAATTTATTAAATTTAATATTAATTTAATGAAAATGAAAAATATGTGTTGTGAGTAAAAAGAAATGGTAAGCGTTTATTGAAAAACAAATGAATTAAATTTCAACTTACCATGCGTTACTAAATTCGTCATATAGATGAGAAACATAACACGGCGATTTGTGAAGCGGCTCGGAAATATGTTGAGCACAATTAGCAATAATTTAATTACCGTTATAATAAACATTTTGTGTGCTTTGATTTTAGTTTAGTGTATGTATTTGCTAATTTAAATGTACTATTTGATAGTTGTGATTTCTAGTTTGTTTAATTACTGTAACACTTTGCAATTAAACGTTAACCAAAAGAAAAACAAACACACTTTCAATTCCAACTCGCATACGAGTATGTACACAAAAATTCCTTTAATTACGAGCAGGGATATGTTTTGGGTTGCGATTATAATTGTTGTTGGGCCTAACTTCCGAATGCATCCATTTAATTCTACGTATAGCATATAGTGCAATGATATAACGTGTCTGCACTTTAGACTGTGTATTTTTTCAATTTATTTTATTTTTATAATTGTTGGTATTTGTTATTTTTATTTTATTTTATTTAAAACGATGTTGCGGTGTTGTCGCTGTATATTCTTTTTAAATTTATTTGATTTGCGTAATTTAATTTGCACACGCACGCACACACACAAAGAGACTCATCCATTGAGCGGAGGCAATGGCCATTCAAATTTCATTTAGCGTAAAGCTTTAAAAATCGCTTAATTCACTTGACGCGTCGAATCCATTGTTCATTTGTTTGTTGTTGTCGTTGTCGTTGTCGCGGGCATAGCTGTGCGCGCGAATAGACAGATGAAAACAATGAAATTGAAAATAAAAATTGCATACTCATAGGCGTTCAGTCGAACTGCAGCCGAAATGTTACACGGCAAAAGGGATTTCGGCATTTATTATTATTATGGCAATGGACACTGTTGTTGCGAGCTTTACAGCGTTGTACAGACACGCACACACACACAAGCACATCAGACATACATGTGTATGTTGGAATGTTTATTTAACTGGCGACTGGGCTACAACAGCAGCAGCAACAACAACAACTGGGACAATAACAATGAAGCGAAATGCACGCAATGCCAGGCGACGCATTGCAGCTTGGCTTTATGGGTTTTGGTTGCCGTTTCGGTTTTCGGTTTGCCACGCGCTCAACGCAACTTCATTTTACTCAACGTACTAACACATATACGAATACGTATAAGAGGGCTGTTTAATAAGTAAGCCATCTCCTGCAAGTTTCGAACTTTGAAATTAGATAATAATTTTCAATGAAGAAAATTGATATTTAAAAAAAAATATTTTTTTTTTTTATTTTTTATGTTACCGAATCTTCTATAACCTATTACAAAATACTATGGATTTTTTGTATTGGAAAAAGTCGCCTAGTTCAGGACAAAGTAGAGTCTAAGAGTGCCTGCAATAATTTCAAATTAAAAACTAACTAAGACTTGAAGATGTAGCAATAAATCTTTAGTACACACTCGAAATACATAAAGAATGGCTGTGTATAAAAAAGTGGTAGCATAAAATTACAAAATGGGTAAAATCATGATGAAGAATTTGTTTCATTTCTTAAGAGTTGCTGCTCTACAGAGCTTCCATTTATTTCAGCTATAGGTTAATAAATTAGCTATAGATTAAAAATGTTTTAAAATCTGTTTGCCATTTGTTTGATTTAATTTTCTGTTCTCTGTATATATTTAACGACAACACTTTTTAGAATACCTATTCGTTACTTGGATGACTAGGTTCTAATCTATCTATATACACGTATTAAAAATTGGAAGTATGTATGTATTTATGTAACTTGTGGCATTCAAATCAATTCAAAATAGTCTCGTGGGTGATCCTGTCAGTTTTTTGGCAATTCATCAAAGCGATCAACTATTGTTTACCGGCTTTTTTCTGCTCATTTTCATTTGTTTGACAGTCACTTTAACATCTGTTTGCCAGTGTTTCCTTCGTAAATAAATAAAATTGTAAAATTGATTTCAAAAAATGATAAAAAAAAAAACACAAGATCAAAAAAGATGAACGAAAAAAAGCAGCTGCAAATGCGTATGTTGTAGATGTTCGCGAATCACGTTTGCAAGATCTTTGCGAAAGGGCATTCACATCTACAGCCATAGAACTTAAGTCTAGTCTTTTCTCTGCAATTCTCATACTTGTACAAAGCACTAAAAGTAGACTTCATTTTTATAGCCTGTACCCAAAGGGTGAAAGGCTATACTAGTTTTGTGCGCATGTATGTAACACACAGAAGGAGGCGTGGCAGACCCCACAAAGTATATATATTCTTGATCAGGATGAGAAGACGAGTCGATATAGCCATGTCCGTCTGTCCGTCTGTCCGTCTGACCGTCTGTCCGTCTGTCCGTCTGTCCGTCTGTCTGTATGAGCGCAAGGATCTCAGTAAGTACAAGAGCTAGGATAACCAAAATTGGTATCAAGGTTCCTATAAGCCCTAGGCAGAACGAGTTTGTTTATTTTTTCTGATACACCCCCCCCACTCCCCCGCAATTCGTATTTTTTCTTATAACTTCCGTAATTCTCGGAATTTTGAAATCAATTTTGGTAGGTACATCCAGTTAGTACTAATGTGTCCGTGTGCCAAATTTCATCATGATAGGTCAATTCTGAAGAAAGTTATAGCCATAAGTAAAATCGCTGCTCATGCGCTGCCTCTGTCGGCAGCGCTGCCCGCAGCTGTTGTTGTTGTTGCTGCTTTGGTTTAACTTTGTGCTGCATACATACACGCATATAAACACGCATATAAACACGCATAGGTACGTGATGTAAATGTATGCTGTTTAAACTGAACATAAACATGTATTCTAATTTAATTTAATTAATTATTTTAATTAATTAATTCATTCATTTTTTTTAATAATTTAATTTTAAAAAAAATTTTTTTTTTTTTAATTTTTTCCTTTTTGTGGAGAGTACAGGCTATTTTACTGTCGGGCTTGCTCGACTGTAGCGTTCTATCTTGTTATATATATCTCGGTTCAATTAAAAGAAAAGCGCACGTTCACACTTGCTGACCTAATCGAAGCCATAAAAGACGAATGAGGTTTTGGAAAAGATGTGACGTAGGAAAGCCGGATATGCCAGTTTGTTAAAAAATATTTTCAAAATCACTTAAAAGTCAAGTGGTAAGTGGGATTTCTGCTTATAGTACTTAGCTTGTATTTACTTGAGTAAGCTGAGTAGAGCAGAAAAATGGCAATAATTAAGCTAATTCCAAATAAACAAATGGTGGACAAATATTTCTATGTGATTGTTAAAGTATGGATTCGATACTAAATAAACGCGCCGCGTGTATGTGTGGGTGAAGAGTGATGAGCATGTGGGTGTGTGTGGGTGTGAGTGTGCGGGTGTGTGACCATCGCTACATTTATTATTAATAGCACTTTATTCCGGTCAGTCGTATGAATGGCCGCGCATTCATTGCCTGCATTGCAATGCATTGATGTTGTTTTTGCTATTTTATGGCCACAACACATACAACAAGGACGAGCCAACGGACGCTGCCAATGATGATGGCGACGACTACAACTACAACTACAGCTACGACTACATCAGAGTCAGTGGCAGCGTCATTATTATTGTTGCTACTCTTGTCATAACATGGCCACATTTTCATTGTGCATGAATTGTTGTTACATTCTCGTTTCACAACATTGGCCGCCAGCAATTTTTTTGTTTTGTTGTTGCTTTTTTTGCGCTCGTTTTCGTTTCATTTAAATGCACTTTAACTCACTGATGCGTTTTTTGTTGCTCGCCAAGTTGGCCAGCAGGGCAATTTCGACAAATGATTTATGGATTCAGATGCCATATCAACTTCCGGTTGCTCCAACGAAAGGGCACTCGGCACTCCATGCCGTCGCATCAAGACATTAATATTTGATTTTTCTTTATTTGCCACATTTTTTTTTCTTTTGCGCCATCGTAACATCGTGCCATCGTATGTACATTTGAGTGGCAGTTTCGTTTCTACGCGTCTGTGGCACTGTGACAATGCTTAAATATTTATACACTCTATAATAAAACACACAAACACCAACGGAGACACATGAACATACGAGTATACCATACCACTCGCATTTAAGCTGCAAAAATCCCGTCTGTTGCTATAGAAACATTTACAATGTTGTGGGATAGCGGCAACAACATCACACACACACACAAAAAAAAGGTCATATGTCATGTGAGTTCATGAGAGGCATTTTTATGAAAAATGCAAATAATGTAAAGGCATGAAAATCACGTGCATTAAATAAAACTGACAATCCATGATTACATTCGATTTTAACTGGTATGGTCTGTAATTGCTTTTGAGAACTTTGGCTGTTCGCGTTATAAAACTTTCATTTCGAAATTATATTTTCATAATATTTGTGTAAAAACATGGCAATCCGGTTGGCTTTAATAAACATTTTATGTATTATACCTTGTGCTCACAGGGTATATTACATAGCTTAGTGCGATTGTTTGTAACACACAGAGAGAATATGCTCTAGATCAGTATGGAAATATAGCCAATTCTCCTATCCTCCTATCTGTTCGTCTATATAAAGGCAATGATCTCGGAATGTATAAAAGCTAGAATAACTAATCTCTGTATCCAGATTCTTCTGATTCGAAATAGGGACAAACTTGCTTTTCTTGATGCAAGCTGCAATTCTCTCAATTGGTTTTTTTCTGAAAATTGATATATTGATATGTATTTATCAAAAAGGAAGTTCTAGTCATAAATGTAATCTCTGCCCAAAAATATTTATATATATATTTACTTAAAGAATGAGACCCGCTTCACTAGCTTTTTATAGCCCTAATACATGGTTCATTTTCTTAAAATTATTTTACGGTTTTTACAAAGACTAGAAAATTACAAAAATTCATTTAGAATATAACTTTTCTTTGAAAAATTATTTTAGTGTGCTTGCACAGACTAAAGGACACTATGATTAAATTAAAAAATCAAATTTGAATAAAATTTCTTTTTCAAAAAATTGTTTTTTGTATGTACCTCTTTCATTTGTCAGGGAGAGCTATAATAGGCTATTTAAAATTTATTAAAATAAAAATTGAAAATTTGCGACAATATACAGAAACAAAACTGAAATGACTTTCTAACAGTTTAGGTAATACTCTTTTGAAATGCGTCAAC